GATCGAACTGCCATCCACGAAGTGATGGAGCAACAGACCATTTCCATTTCCAAGGCGGGCATCACAACAACTCTGAACGCCCGTACCTCCATCCTGGCTGCAGCCAACCCTCTCTATGGACGGTACAACCCGCGGATCTCTCCAGTGGAGAACATCAACCTTCCCGCCGCATTGCTCTCACGTTTCGACGTCATGTTCCTCATCCTAGACACTCCACAGCGGGAAGCCGATGAGGAATTGGCCAACCACGTTGCGTACGTCCACATGCACAACAAACACCCCGAGCTCGACGATGCTGGAGTTTTGTTCACACCAAACGAAGTCCGTCAGTACATCGCTAAGGCGCGCACATACCGGCCCGTCGTGCCCTCGTCAGTTTCCGATTACATGGTCGGAGCTTACGTGAGAATGAGGAAGCAGCAAAAGAGCGATGAAGCCAGCAAGAAGCAATTCTCTCATGTGACTCCCCGTACTTTGCTTGGTGTCGTTCGTCTCTCGCAGGCTCTTGCCCGCCTTCGCTTCAGCGAAGAGGTCATCAGGGAGGACGTCGATGAGGCGTTGCGCCTTATCGAGGTCAGCAAAGCATCACTGGCCAATGACGGTCAGTCCGGTGTGGACCATAGCCCCAGCAGCAAGATCTACAATCTCATCCGCGGTATGCGGGAGAGCGGTGCTGCCGCTGTTGGGGACGGTGAAGAGGGTGAACTTAGCATGAGAAGGATTAGGGAACGCGTGCTTGCCAAGGGCTTCACGGAAGATCAGCTCACAATGGCGATCGATGAATACGAAGAGCTTAATGTATGTGTTGTCAGCCTGAGTACTCTCCCTTGGCTCTTACTAATATCTTTGCTCCTTTGCAGGTTTGGCAAGTCGTTAACAACGGAACTCGCCTCATTTTCTTGGATCTCGGCGGTGATGAGGCAATGGATATCTAATAGGCTAGCGAACGACTGCAGTTAGACTGGCAAAAAGATATTCACTGAAGCCTGCTGCAACTCCCTGGTTTAATGTCGATCAGTTTTCAATCGTTTTGGCGGACTGGTCATTGTTCCGCCCACGAGCAAGAGCACGGGGTTTACGCAACTTCCTTGATGAAGGGTAGATTTCGGAAACTGGTGTTAGGGCGTATACTACATTATTTTCTTTTTCGACAGATTTCTGGGATAAGAACAATGCATAATTACTTCTAGTTGACTCAATGAAAGCCATGTGACAAGGTTTATAGGCCAAGAATTAGACTATCGGTACCTACGTTGGTAAAGGAGTGATATATACGAGTCTTGCATGACATTAGGTACAGAACAAGCAGATCTCATGAAGGAATGTCATCGTAGAACACCCGTTCCCAGCGAATAATCAGTCTCAGCACAAGAAGTACGTCTCACGACAGTCCCCCATCAAACAGCACACTTGTCATAGATAGGAACCTCAGCGCAGAGGTCTGGGCTAGCGCCGTAGGGGTTGTTACAGAGGGTGTTGCACTCGGTGCTTTCGGGGGTGAAGACCAGGAACTGGTAGTTGGGGACATTCAGACGGAACTGCTTGGTGACGTCGTGGTTGTCCTTCGAGGCCTTATAGCCGGCGCGGCAGGCGCAATGGAAGCGGGTGCCTGTGTTGATACAGGAGGTGGTAATGTCGCAGTGGTTCTCGCCGGAGAGCGGATTGCAAGTTCCGCACGTTGGGGGGATGCTGGAGGAGAAGACGAGGGAAGCGGAGGCGAGGAGGAGGGAGGTGAGGATGGAGAGGTTCTTCATGTTGGTGGTTGGGCTTGTGGGCTGGTTGAAAGTAGCTCAGAAGGTGCTGAAGGGTGTTTGGTAGGGTTGGAAGTGTGCTTTGATGCTTGCTTTGTGGAAAAGATGCCTTGATGCTTGAGAAGAGATGGGTTGTCGATCGAGTATCCTCTCTTTATATACTCTTGCATCGTTCGTTAGGACATCAAGTCTCCAATACATGGACACATACATGCAACTGTAAGTAAGGCCAACATGGCTGTGAGGCACTGCACAAGTCATCCAGACGGCATCTTCTCTCCGAATTCCACGTCATAAGACGGTGAAGACGCAAAAGGTAACAAAGAGAGGTCTCTGAGACATGTCTCTTGGTGGCACAGCGGACAGGCTTAGGTGCCCTCCGTCGTAGCTTGGATGTCTCCCGGCTGAAGCTGACTGGACTTGTATCAAGTCATGGCTTCTTCGGATTGGTAGTAGCAATACGAGATCTGGAACATGGACAGGTGAGAACCGTGAGTCGCCAATATTTCCCCGCAAATGCATCTGACGTACCGACTTCAGCCCTGTCTTCGTCACGGCAAATGAAACGCAAAGATACCCGTCAGAAACAGTCATCGAGTCCAAGGGAGCCTCATCGGAGATGGCCCAGTCAGACCGTGTTGTTATCTGTGATTGGAAGTGTTCGGGCCATATTTAGCAGCAGTACCGTCTTGTACTCAGCGTAAAATTGGATAGAACACATGACCAACTGAGTATAAGACACCTCTTGTAAGCTTCGAGTGGCACGAAGATCCAATGCCCTCGGTGAGATGCGATCGTTGAACGGGGGAAAGAACTTAGAATAGTGGAGAAAGACGTGCAGGCTTTCAGGCCGTCAATGATACTGGAACTTGGCGAATGGAGATCAACTATATGCGAGGTCAAGAGGAGGAAACTCTGACACCTCATGTCAGATCCAAGAAATGCATCGAATAGGCGCAAGAAGTAGAACTTTCCATTGAAATCTACAGCGTTGGCTATTTTTAGCAAGAAAAGTAGATTTAATGTATCACGCTCAATTCATTCGAGGTTCAACCACTGCATTTCTTCGTGGAAAAAGCTTGGTCATTTGATCCTCAAGGCATCTTAACATCATGGAAAGGATGAAAACTTGAGCCAGTCATTGAATTTTTTGACTACTAGCACTCGCAGGCTGAATATGCGCAAGCCCCAGACGGTGAACAGCCTACAGATGGGTCCTGGAAGCCTCCGGTTCCCCAATCAATTCCAAGAAACTCTCATGAACTTCATCAGTAAGATCGCTAGCCTGCAGGCTCCTACCTTTGGCATTGAACGCCCGCCGAGAACATTCCCGAGTGATGCCACTGCCTGCCCATGCAACCAGTAGTAGGGTTGTCGCCGGGGACATTCTCTTGTTCTCTGACTCAAGTTCAGCCAACACATCCTGCTTAGACTGCGCTTCTTTCGGGTTCTCCTGCTCGCCCGAGTCCCATAATTTGTCATGGTAAGCAGCTCTCCAAGCCAGCAGTGTACCAAGCGACCCTGTGAGTGTATCTCCCTGCCCTCCACTGCGCTTCAAGCCTCCTTTCAAGTCCGAGATCAGGGTCGTCACACCGTTTGAAATCACATCATGCGGTCCTTTCTGTATAATTGTCACACCGCCTAAGGCCTGTGAAAGTTGCTCGCAAGCCTGCGATTCTTTGTTGGTCTTATCGCCTTCATCTGTCTGGGCTGCAATCTGTGCCTGACTAGGAACTTCAATGCCCAACGCCTTAGCCAATCGACTGAATTCGGAGACATTGGGTGTCAAGATACAGTCCTTGTAGCCTTTGACGAGGTCGGGATCCTCCGTGACGAGAAGCAGGCCATCGGCGTCTAGAACAAATGGTATCGAGCGGGACCGCGCCTCTTTCATAACTTCGGTGACCACTTTGAGAGTCACTCCATCACGACCTAGCCCCGGACCAATTACTAACGCATGCAGCCTAGATAGCATGGAAACAATAGGGCTGGCAAGCGCGGGAGCATCAATGCTACCAGGGTTGCTAACCGTGTCGGTGCTCGGAAGCAATGGATGTACCATCAGATTAGGGGAGTACGACTTGATAACCTGAAAAGCTACATCAGTCTGAATATTTAAAATTTTATTGGCACTGGGTGGTTACGAACCGAAGCTGCAGATCTCTCACAAATGACATGGCTCTATACTTGGTTAGAAATCATCATATCATCATACTGGTGCCGGCGCAAAGACTTGTTCAACTAACCATGTCACATCCTGCAACACAGTTAGTCGACCGATAGCAAGTCAAGTGGACAGCTATGGCTACTTTGATGACGTACCTAATCGAGCTGATGCCATTGAAGAGAAGTATGGAGCTCCTGTGTAGCTTTATGATTATGAATATTTGCACTCAAACAGTAGTACAGGGAGCCCTTCCACATACTCTAAAGAGCCTCCAATGACAGCCACACGCCCATGTTGACCTTCTCTCGTCAGTCATTGTTCTTCGAAGAGAAAGCTTTCTGCGGCTTCTCAGCCGAATTGAGCCTACCTTTGTGGAACTTATCCAGCAACGGAGGCACAATCTGGCGCACTTTCTTGAACAGGACCTTCGAGGAGGTCGATACATGTACCGGTTCCATGTTCGAGTCTGTTGCGAAATCCCAAAGAATAACCAAATGAGTTCCAGGACGATGAACTTCTCTTCAGGATGAGAAGGAGATCTATCGAGATAAGTGATACTTTAATGTGAAGGCAAGCCGGAATGGGGCCAGTGATGTCACCGCCTATCAAGTGGGGCAACCAGCAGCTCCAAACAGGCAGTACAAACGGTTGATAAATCGGTTTCATTTGGCTGTGGACCACAGTAAAAGCCATGTCTTATCTATCTAGCAGGGAAACACAAAAAGGGAGGATGAATATGTAAGAATGACGCCCGCTCTTTGCAAGTAAACCGCATAAACCAGGTAGAATCGAACCAGCTAGTAAAAACGAGGAGTAGCCCACCCTCTATCGACACCCTGACGCTCCCTCGCTGATGCCAAGTAGGAACACAAATATTATTGAACGCCATGAAGAAATCAAAAGAGGCAAAAAAAGAGACTAGGCCAGGAGTGAGGGACTAGTGAATATGCACAAAGGGAACAATATGGTTCGTATGTATAATGTAGCCACGGGGTATCCTTCGCTGATGCTCCGTACGCATATGATTAGGAAATTTTGCTGTTGAAAAATAATGGATCGCTGAATGAAGGCAGCGGCTGAGCTCAAGATCGACTCTTAGCAACCAATGCTGCGAGTTTCTTCCGTCGTTCAAGCTTTTCCTGCTTGGCCGCAAGCTCAGCGCGCAATTCCTGTTCATCCTCTTTCCTCGCAGCTGCTAATGCAGCAGCTTCTTCCTCCTCTACATCATCGTAGCCAGCTTCCATGTCGGATGATGCGGAGTAGTAGTCATCGTCGGCAAAATCTCCTTCGTCTTCTTCATCTGTTGCTAGATACTCATTCATTCTAGCGCGCTTACTAGCTCGAGACTGTGCTTTTGGTTCTTGTGAGCCGCGTCGACTGGGCAGGCCGGCTGTTCCCCGGTACTCCAGCTGCGTTGGGGTCTGCGGCGGTCTTGCTGTGCCCTTGTAGGCTAAGTCCTCATTTTCCCGTTTTCTGGCAAGTTTCCCATCACCAGACCTGGTTCCGGTTGCTCCACCAGAAACAGTGCCGGGCTTCTTGGCCACTCGTGAATCTTTCTCTTTTGTCTGCGCCTCCATTGCTCGTCTTTTGCGTTCCGCTTTGCTGAGCTTCTCCTTGGCTACCGGTTGATGTTTGAACATGCCCACTTGAGTTGGAGCTTTCGTCTGTAGTTCCTTCGCTTTCATCATGAGATCAGCATACGATCCTTTAGGAGGGGGCTTCGAGGAGATCTGAGGCGGTTTCTGAGTAGCGGTTGCAGTATTTCCGTTTGTAGACTTGACGGAAGACGAAGTGGCGACTGGGCGAGGCTTTGAAGCAATAGAAGCATTGGCAGGTTTGTTTGCCGTTGGCTTGGTCGACGCTTCAGACTCAGGCTTCTGGGATCGACGCAACTGATCCTCGGCTTTCCTTTTCACCCCAGCAGCAACATTTCTCTGCCCGGTAGCATTGCTACCAAGCCCATTAGTAGGCTTGTATGCTTGAGGTCTGACATTTGAGGACGATACGGGTGGCGCGGGCGTCCGAATTGGAGGGGGAGGAGCGATGGGAGCTGGTCTACCCGTCTCAATAGACGAGAGAACGGAGTCAAGAAACTGTCAAATTGTTAGACATGTCAGATACTACAACGTGGAAGAAGACTGACACTCATAGTGACCGCTGAGGTACACGAAAGAGCTTCGGCAGATGAGACACTGGATAACAAGATAGGAGCACTGATAAGGGTAGGTTCACCGTCGGTGGTTAGTTTGACGGGGTAACTTCATGACTTCATGAGCTGCGAGATTGAGAGAAAGGAGAGGGCTCAAGGAATGAATGTGTGTTGTTTACCCCTCTGTTGCCGATGCAAAACCTAGCACATAGCGATGGCGTCTGAACGGGACAGCAAAGGAAGAGTCGTAACGTTGCTGCCAGACGCCATCCTGTTCTTCTAGAAGCAGCTAGTCACGTGGACGTCTCAGTCTCTTGGAAGTTTAATTGGAGACACATGCGCCACAGGCCCTCGCTTAGCTTACATGGCTCTGTTTGCACTAGCCACATCCACCAGCCGCACCGCACTTTTCTCGATATTTTGATGGTTCAATTCTCTAATTCTTACTTCCTCTAACCACTTCGCTAAATCTCCCAGCGAACTCGACGTCTCAGTCTCCGCCCAACTTGCGGTTAAATCGATTGATTCTCGTGTTCGATATTCTCAATAACCTCAGTACGTGCTCTCAGCCCGGTAGATATTCTATCAGCGTTGCCATCGTCGCATCTAACAGCGGATTTTCTCTCGCAGATTCAAAATGAAGCACCTCGCCGCTTACCTGCTCCTCGCCCTTGCTGGCAACACCTCCCCCTCCGCTGAGGACGTCAAGACTGTCCTCTCTTCCGTTGGCATTGACGCCGATGAGGAGCGCCTGAACAAGCTCATTGCTGAGCTCGAGGGCAAGGACCTCCAGGAGGTTAGTACACAAAGCTCGAAGATTACAGACTGAGAATTTTGGACTGGCGCTGACATCGAACTCTACAACAGCTGATCGCTGAGGGTTCCACCAAGCTCGCTTCCGTTCCCTCCGGTGGTGCTGCCGCCGCTGCTCCTGCCGCTGGCGGTGCCGCTGCCGGTGGTGCTGCCGCCGCTCCCGCCGAGGAGAAGGAGGAGGAGAAGGAGGAGTCCGACGAGGACATGGGCTTCGGTCTCTTCGACTAAGCGCGTTCATATATACAAGCGCAACAAAAATCATGAGATTTGGTGGTGGAGCAGGAATCTGGCAGTTATTTTCAGTATGGGGAGTATACTCGCCCATTGGTGCCGATCAGTCTGTGTGCCTTCAGGCTTTTCGGATGCAGTTACGAGCATGCATATAAGAGCTGGAAAGAGCTTTTAGGCCAATACAGATTATGTGACCCTCCACTAATTCACGTTCATGTTCGACGTAGACTTGCGCATGTAAGCTCAAGAGATCGAAGCGTATAAGTACGAGTGAGTGTTTGCGGGGATAATCAGTAGAACCCGAGTCACTGTATCCTATTGTCAAAAAGCGCCACTCCCTCAACAAAAGTCTTGCATATCCAGATGTTAATCGTACATTTCGAGTCAAATAAGCAAGGCTGAAGGTTATCATATAATGATCTAGATGCCTGAAAAATCAGGAGGAAAGCGGAGACCCATGGGCAACCCAATCAGTACTAGTGGCTTAGGGTTTGACCTAGTGCGGTCGCTTAGACGAGCCCTCCAGCCCACGTCGCAACCTGAAGCGTAGGCACAAGACTAGCCCCGACGAAGGTCCTTCAGCGACAAGACACGACACGACAACCATATTCCCTTCGCTTTTCGAGTAACGTTCGGAAAGCGACCTTGAGAGGAACATCCGCAAAAATGGCTGACACCGAATACGTGAGTGATATTACGGGATATAAATGGTCTTCAACACTTTGTTCGAGAGGAGCTAATGTGAAATCTTTGCTTGCAGAACGCCGAGGAGGCTGCCGGTACGTTGTCGCAGGACACCCTTTCTTCCAATTCCTGTCATACTACAGAAGAGCGCGGAGTGTTGTGGGCTGTTCCGTGATGGAATACTGGAAAGAATCGATGAATCGAGATGGACTTAGTACATAAGAGCGACCGGAGGGATACGATTACGGAGAAAACGGACAACCACACACCAGAGTTAGGATAGACGCGCTGACAGACACTTTCACCGAACAGAGATCAAGAAGAGAAGACAGTTCCGCAAGTTCACCTACCGCGGAATTGACCTCGACCAGTATGTTCAGCAACCTCCCATCCATCCAACCCTGTCACCGCCCAACCACCCGACTCCGAACGAGCGAGGCCATCAATTGTGCCATCTTTGCATGGGTCATCCTTGTCGGGGTCTGGAGTTGAGATGCAGGGACAAAGTGGAGAACACTTGAAGGAACCGTTGTCTGACATGGAATGTGATACAGGCTCCTCGACCTCTCCTCCGAACAGCTCCGCGATGTCGTGCACGCCCGCGCCCGCCGCAGGTTCAACCGTGGTCTGAAGCGCAAGCCCATGGGCCTGATCAAGAAGCTCCGCAAGGCCAAGCAGGAGGCCAAGCCCAACGAGAAGCCCGACCTCGTCAAGACCCACCTGCGTGACATGATCATTGTCCCCGAGATGATCGGCAGCGTCATCGGTATCTACTCCGGAAAGGAGTTCAACCAGATTGAGGTCAAGCCCGAGATGGTTGGCCACTACCTTGGTGAATTCTCCATCACATAGTATGTTCATCTTGCGTCCCCTATATCATGAGTTCTTTTTGAGTCTGTTCTAACAACCATACAGCAAGCCCGTCAAGCACGGTCGTCCCGGTATCGGTGCCACCCACTCTTCTCGTTTCATTCCCCTCAAGTAAAGAAGAAAAGCTTTCTGGAGTGTTGCGTGGAGGATTGGGGGTACGGATGTGCTGGGAGAACAAAAAAGGGATGGATACCATTTGCGTCTATTTGGATTCATCAAACTTGTATGTCAAGTGCGGGTCAGCTGTTTGCATCTCAATATAAAGATCTTGTCGCCATGAAACACGAACGAACCAAAGATTAAACGGGATCGTCAAACTTATGATGATGAAGTTTTGCCCCTCCGTTCTGCTTCGACGGAGGCGGGACTTTCACCTGTTCCTTTCACTGAGGTTTAGTTAGGAATGGAAGTCTAATTTACGAAGTCGAATTTCATTCGTCTATATCTGTAGGCACGGCGTTACCACTTCGGTAGACATTCGCATAAATGCTCTTGTAGTTTACTGCAGTACCTGGTAATTGTTATTGATCTGTCCAGTTTACCCATCGTTTCTTTTAGCTATTGCCTAAACAATTTTGATGGAAATATCAGAGATACTCAACTATCTATCCATTTGAGCTTCACAAAATGTAAAAGTGGGACGGAATCTGACCCAGAACGCCCGGCACTACAAGCCCCTCAGTCAGCATTGATCAAACCTTCTCCTTCTCCAAAGTCTCATTAATAATTTCATCAAGCTCGCTCCACGCTCTCCGTATGGAATGGAGCAACTCGCCAGGACTCCGTCTCAAGCCGTGGTTGTACATCTGCACCGGCCCCTCCGCGAACGCCCTTCTGATTGTTTTCTTGAGGGTCGGCACAGCAGAACTCACTTCGAGTTCACTCATGAGAAGAAAGAGAACGGATTGCCAGATCGCGGCGCACACCCTGGATGAATCCTTCCTGCCGCTCAACGCCGGCAGCCCCTGCAGCATCAGCTCATTGGCGAGCATCGCAAACACCCACGCGTGCATCTGTCGAGTCGGATGCCCCGGTTCCGGATACACAATGGGATCAATAAGACGGAAGCGGATCGCGGCGTGCACGAATGCCTCGTAGGGTTCGTCCTCTGAAAGAAGACAGGTGATCAGCTCGTCTCGCAGGGCGACCATCGGCTGTCGGGTGATTGGCCACGCAGAGGTTCTGTGTAGGCCCTTCAAGACCCGTTTGATCTCATCAGCGGCCTCTGATGGGCTGAGCTGCGGACTACCGACCCGGTTTAATACATTCATTGCGGCGCTCTCGGCGTCTTCTAGGATGGAGAGGTCGTGCGGTTCGCCGAGGAAGCGGTCTTCGCGTGTGCTTGTGCCTTTCTCGCACTTGGAACATCGGCATTTGAAGTAGTATCGCTCCAAGAGCTCTTTCTGGCGGGTTTTATAGGGGTTCGTTGCGTCGATGTACGATACGAGTATCTCTTCGCCTTTCTGGATCGGGCGAAGAGCTTTGACGTAAAGGGCGTCACCATCTGAGCCGACGACGGAATTGTAGTCGCAGCTGTGGTTGACCAGAGCTGCATATGGGTGCAGGTAGAACCCTAGACGATCAGCCAAGGGACTGTGAAAGTTGTACGAGTTTAATTCCAGCTTTGGAACGTAATCAAGTCAGCTTTCGTCAGGGAGATGAAACGGAAAAAGAGAGAAAGGTGCAGCCGAACTCACCTTGGCACCATAGTGGCATATCATTTCTTCTTCCATAGCACACCCAGAGTACTTCTTGACGGCCTTCGCCGTTAGGGATATCCGCTGCCACTGTTCCCAGTTTTGCGCTTGGATCTCGTCCATATGACTCTCCAGTTTGCGGAAGAGCTCCAGCTCCTCCTTTGGATATTTGCCGCGCTCACTACGCAGGACCATCCGAAGAATAGCCCTGGCATTGCTCGGAAGCACTCGGGGCATCAACTCCTTGAAAATCCGACATTCGAACGAGTGAGCGAACTTCCAGTCGTTCGCTTGGCAAGTCTATGCCCAGTTAGTGGTGACGCGGACTCGGAAGGATAGAAAGGCATCTGGTAAGAACCTTATTACAATACTTCACAACCCGACACCCCGTACAAGCTTTCAACTCGACGTTGACATCTCTGTTGCAATGATGCTGCCCAAGGCATCCTGAGCAGGTATCCGGCAACCGCTCAGTATCCAAGACTGCCACGAAAGGCCTCTGGATGAGCATGATGGTCCCTCCGACCGGAATATCCATCGCAGCAAAAATCCCTGTCCCAGCGCCCGTAGACGGAGCAGGATAGCCTCTGCTGTAGACTGAAGGAAGAGGGTTCTCGAATCCCCCTTCCGCGATGTTCTCATTGTCCTGGTTGGGATCCGTGCTGGTGACGGTTTGGTCGAGTAGACGCCTGAGAATATCCTCGTTTAGGATATCTTCAGGGACTTTGCGGCTGCCCCGCTGTAAGTCCGTTATAGATGCCATTTCTAGTGTCGTCCGATTTTCACGACAAGTTGTGGATAGTTCCAGTTACTCAGACTTTACTCCGTAGATTTGAGATCCAGAAGCCATTATGATGGTAGGTCATATGATTTGGCGAGAATTCTAGTTTCGGTAGCCTAGAGCATTTCAATCGAGGGTCCTTTCTCAGCATCCAATTCTTGTGGTTTCTATTCCGTGCTGCTCTAATGATATGTGCCGACCTTGTAGTTTGTGAGAAACAAGGTAAATATCAGCAAAACTGAATCAACTGGAGCCGATATCACGTGTTCCCTTCTGGATAAATCTAGCGACGAAGGTTATTGAAGAGTTGTTTTTCGAGTACAATCGAAATACTTAAGAATACATATACCTTGAATCATCACATAAAGGCTGATCAAGCTAGGTAACGAATGAAAGTAAAATACAAATCAGATTCTTTTCGCTCAAGCACATAGCCTGCCTACTTCAAAACCATGGTAAATATAACAAAGCCGCAAGAAAGAGAAATATGGAACAACAGCATGGCCATGATCCTCATGCCAGGTCCAGACCAAGACACAAATTCTATCAACACGAAGCCGGATCCTCTACGCCAAACAGGACGGGCTTTTTGTTTGCCTGAAAAGAGAACATAATCCAAACCGATTAGATCTATAAATAGAACATGACTTTTCCCCTTTTTTCATAGTTTTGATGAGATCGTCGATACTCGGATTTACATCAGCCTGCTGCCAGTGAACTCGGACCAGCTGCGGACCTCAGGGGGAATGCCGTCGGGACGGGGCAGCTTAGCGTTCATGGCCTGAGCGAAGAGAAGCGCGGTCTGGTATAGACGATTAGTAACCGTGACACAGGCGTACTTGGTTAAAGGAAGTGGACTGCTACATACCTTAGTCTCCATGAAGAGAGGAACACCGAAGTCGACCGCGTTACGTCTCATAACATAGTCCTCATCCAAGAGGGTCTTGCCACGGGTCTTGGCAAGGTTGAAGCAACCGCGAATGTCGTACTTCTGGAACACCTCACGGAGGGCTCTCTTGTCCTCCTTAGGGAACTCGATCACCTGCACGGAGACCTTGTCCTTGGTAGCGGACTGAAGGTGAGCCTGGACCTCAGGGCTAGCAGCGAAGAACTTGTAGCCGAGAGGGTTGAGGTAGTCAACAATCTGAGCCAAAGCAGGGTTGTTGATGTCACCGCCGAGCAGGATACCCTCGCCGGGCTCGGGCACGCGGAAGTTCATGGTGGACTGGAGAGAAGCCCAGTAGGCCTCAATAAGATCCTTGCCGAAGCAAGCAATCTCACCGGTACTGGCCATCTCGACACCGAGGAAAGGATCGGCACCGGCAAGACGAGTCCAACTGAACTGGGGAACCTTGGTAGCGAGGTAGTCACGCTTCTCAGTCATAAGATCGACGGGCTCAGGAACATCGCGGCCAACAAGAGCCTTGGTAGCAACGTCAATGAAGTTGGTTCCCAGGACCTTGCTGACAAAAGGGAAGGAACGAGAGGCACGAAGGTTGCACTCGATGACCTTCAGCTGGGGCTCAGCACCTTCCTGATCGGCCTTGATGATCTGCATGTTGAAGGGACCGGTGATGTTCCAGGCCTTGGCAACCTTCTCGGCAATCTCCTTGACACGACCCATGACCTTCTCGTCCAGAGAAGCAGGAGGCAGGACCAGAGTAGCATCACCAGAGTGCACACCAGCGGGTTCAACGTGCTCACTGACGGCATGCAGGAGAAGCTTGCCGTTGGAGGCAACAGCATCGATATCGATCTCCTGAGCACCCTCAATGAACTTGGTGATGACGACGGGATGGTCGGGAGAGACAGCACTGGCGTTGAGGAGCTTCTCCTTGAGTTCGTCACCACTGTAGATGACGCTCATGGCAGCACCAGACAAGACGTAACTGGGACGGACCAGGACGGGGTAACCGACAGACTCGGCGAAGCGCTCGGCCTCGGAGACCGAGGTAAGCTCCTTCCAAGCCGGCTGATCAACACCGATGCTGTCCAGGATCTGAGAGAACTTGTGTCTGTCCTCAGCCTTGTCAATGTCCTGAGGATCGGTACCAAGAACGTGGGCACCGCCAGTCTCCTGCAAGCGGAGAGCGATGTTCTGGGGCAGCTGACCACCGACGGACACAACAACACCGCTGGCACTCTCGAGTTCGTAGATATCCATGACACGCTCGTAGCTGAGTTCCTCAAAGTAGAGCTTGTCAGCAGTGTCGAAGTCAGTGGAGTAGGTCTCGGGGTTGTAGTTGATCATGACAGTCTTCTTGCCCATGTTCCTCAGGGAGAGGGTGGCGTTGACCGCACACCAATCGAATTCGACCGAGCTTCCAATACGGTAGACACCGCTTCCAAGAATGATGATACCGTGGTCATCGAAGGTGACATCGTGGGAGGTAGCGTTGTAGGTGGTGTAGAGGTAGTTTGTATCAGCAGGGAACTCAGCGGCCAGGGTATCGATCTTCTTAACCCAGGGTCTGATGCCGAAGCTCTTCCGGCGAGCGCGGACATCGTCCTCGGTGGAACCAACGAGGAGAGCGATCTGCTTGTCGGAGAAACCAAGCTTCTTGGCCTTCAGCATCATCTCCTTCTGGATGCCAAACAGGCTGCCGATCTCCTTGAGCTCGTTGTTGCAATCAACAA